AAAGAACTTTATGATAAATTATAACGTGTGTTCCTCGTCATCAAACTTAAAAACAAAGAACTTTATGATAAATTATAACGTGTGTTCCTCGTAATCAAATTGAAAAACAAAGAACTTTGATTACATACGGTTTGTGTTCCTTTGTTACGCTGTGCCACAAATCTCACCATCTGTAATGTCTATGTCACAAATCACACCACCTGTGTCACAAATCATGGCATCTGCAATGTCTATGTCACAAATCACACCACCTGCAATGTCTGTGTCACAAATCACGCCATCTGGAATGTCTGTGTCACAAATCACGCCATCTGGAATATCTATGTCACAAATCACACCACATGTGATAGGTTATGTCCAAATAGTTACGTTGTAATAGGTTATGTCCAAATAGTCACGTTGTAATATGTTATGTCCACATAGTTACGTTGTAATAGGTTATGTCCAAATAGTTACGTTGTAATATGTTATGTCCACATAGTTACGTTGTAATATGTTATGTCCAAATAGTTATGTTGTGATAGGTTATGTCCAAATAGTTACGTTGTAATATGTTATGTCCACATAGTTACGTTGTAATATATTATGTCCACATAGTTACGTTGTAATAGGTTATGTCCAAATAGTTACGTTGTAATATGTTATGTCCACATAGTTACGTTGTAATAGGTTATGTCCAAATAGTTATGTTGTGATAGGTTATGTCCAAATAGTTACGTTGTAATAGGTTATGTCCAAATAGTTACGTTGTAATATGTTATGTCCATATAGTTACGTTGTAATAGGTTATGTCCAAATAGTTACGTTGTAATAGGTTATGTCCACATAGTTACGTTGTAATAGGTTATGTCCAAATAGTTATGTTGTGATAGGTTATGTCCAAATAGTTACGTTGTAATAGGTTATGTCCAAATAGTTACGTTGTAATATGTTATGTCCACATAGTTACGTTGTAATAGGTTATGTCCAAATAGTTATGTTGTGATAGGTTATGTCCAAATAGTCACGTTGTGATATGTAATTAAGTTATCCAATTGGTTGTGATTTGTCGTTTGTTTTCAAACATTCAAAGTTTCTGCTATTACTAATTTTATTAAACACGAGAATTATTATCTTTTTGTTTATCACATCGAAATAAATTTATCAGTTTTCCACGCTATTCCCACTCAACTTCAATAAAAATATTATCAAATAGCTAAGAGCCTATAATAAACTTTTAGTGGTTATTGTGACACAGATAACGATAGCAGTAATCCAGAACTTCTTTATCTGTTTCTTTTTCAAGTTAAATGTAAGAATTATATTATGTGAGTTTGCTCTTTTATTTATAAATGAACACCAATAATATTTATATGTTTACTACTTGAACGTTCCTAAGGTTGACTGACATGTTATTGATTTATGCTCAGACACCATACCAGCATTTCTAAAAATTAACAGCATTAGCTAGGACCAAGGACGAAAGTGCACAAGACCCTGTAGCTACCATGGTTACAGGGTCCCTAATAATATTATAAAATACCATCAATATTCTCACACATTACTAGTGTGGTCCTCTGGATGTTTTACTCAGAAAATTGGTGACTTCGCCCTAAAGTACTCAGTTTGATGTTATTTTAACAGATAAAAATACTAGAGTACTCAGTTTGATGTAATTGTAACAGATAAAATACTAAAATATTCAATTTGATGTAATATGTGGATCTTTACGGTAGTGAAAGGTATAAAAACAAGTCAGTAATTTTAAGATTAAAAATTTTAAAAATAGTTTGAAATTTTGGTTTTTATACTAGTTAGTTGATATACGAATACATATTTACATTCATTTACACAATAACTATTTACTGCAGAGTAAGGAGCTTTTTTCAAGATTATCTAAAATAACTGAATTTTTTTAAAGAATAAACTTGAAATCTGGAATATAATGACGTCAACAAACTTAATATGTTCAGTATATTTACTGGAAACAAATGGACCGTGTTTGGCCTAGTGAGTGGCGTGCACAAACTTTGAAAATAAAAATTCATGGTTCGTGATCTGTTTCCACAAAAATAAGCGTCACACTTTGGGTCATTGATGGTGCTATAAAGATAACAGTCAAATTCTACTATTTGATCAAATAAGAGTAGACCAAGATTTGGCGGTGGGTGCTGTTTATTAGCTGCCTTCTTTCTAGTCTTTTAGTTCACAATTAGGGACGGCTAAACACAGGTAGTCCTGGAGTAGCCTTACGTGAAATTCTAAAACAAACAAACGAAAGGAATGTTTGGATTGCCCTGTTCCATTTAATGTTCAGCACTTCGAATGTTTAGATTGCTTTGTTCCATCTAACGTTCAACACTTGTAATGTTTAGATTGCCCTGTTCCATTTAATGTTCAGCACTTCGAATGTTTCGATTGCCCTGTTCCATCTACCGTTCAACACTTGGAATGTTTATATTGCTCTGTTCCATTTAATGTTCAGCACTTCTAATGTTTAGATTACCCTGTTCCATCTAATGTTCAACACTTGGAATGTTTATATTGCCCTGTTCCATCTAACGTTCAACACTTCTAATGTTTAGATTACCCTGTTCCATCTAATGTTCAACACTTGGAATGTTTATATTGCCTTGTTCCATCTAGCGTTCAACACTTCTAATGTTTAGATTACCCTGTTCCATCTAATGTTCAACACTTGGAATGTTTATATTGCCCTGTTCCATCTAATGTTCAACACTTGGAATGTTTGGATTACCCTGTTCCATCTAATGTTCAGCACTTGGAATGTTTGGATTACCCTGTTCCATCTCATGTTCAGCACTTGGAATGTTTTGATTACCCTGTTCCATCTAATGTTCAGCACTTGGAATGTTTATATTGCTCTGTTCCATCTAATGTTCAACACTTGGAATGTTTGGATTACCCTGCTCCATCTAATGTTCAACACTTGTACGTTTGGATTACCCTGCTCCATCTGACGTTCAACACTTGGAATGTTTATATTGCCCTGTTCCATCTAATGTTCAACACTTGGAATGTTTGGATTACCCTGCTCCATCTAATGTTCAACACTTCTTAATTAACAAATCCTAGAAAATCCTAGTTAGACATTATGTTTCACATACATAGTCGTTTGTTTGTTTTAGAGCAAAGCGATATTGGGCATGTCCACTGCGGGGTATTGAACCACGAATTTTGGTGTTGTAAGTCCGTAAACTTACCGCCGTGTTACAGGGGAACATATACAGCCACTCTTGAACTTATATTTTTATATCAGGACCGTTTCTTTTTTTCTGTACGAAATAGCGAAGTGGTCTCAGAATATTTACGAGGTTTAATGTTGTAGTTTCACCATATTAAATTTTGAACATGTCGGTATTAACCTGACAAACTAACAACAAAATCCCACAAACACTGAAATGAACAAAATTTTAACTAACCTCTAAAGGAAATCGCTTCTCGATGTATGTGATGTAGCTCTGCACAGAATGAAGGGAAATAAGTAACAACAACGCTGGAAGTAGCTGTTTCGACATCTTGTTTTGCTGCTATTTCGTTGTTAACTCACGTCAGGGCGATGGTATTTATACTGCGATTTGTTTAGAGATCTGACATCGACCCCGGCGATAATGGTGACGAAACAACTATTTACCATCCTCAACCCCCTTCCCAGATAAAGGAATGTTAGTGATAAGGAACAGTATACTATTTTCAAAGAATCATTGCAGAGAAAAAGTTAATACTAACAATGTCAACGGTCAAGATCGAATTTTAAAATAGGGAATTTACGTTCATCATGTACTGATTATTTTAATAGTTATTATATCCGCTCTAGCTGTCTCCTATTTTGAACTGGTGGACAACAAGGTAGGCAGCTGGGAGGATAGTTGGTTTATTTAGTTGTAGTAATATCTTACCTAGACACGAACTGGTATACTGGGAGGATAGTTGGTTTATTTAATTCTAGCAGTATCTTACCTAGACACGAACTGGTATACTGGAAGGATAGTTGGTTTATTTAATTGTAGCAGTATCTTACCTAGACACGAACTGGTATACTGGGAGGATAGTTGGTTTATTTAATTGTAGCAGTATCTTACCTAGACACGAACTGGTATACTGGGAGGATAGTTGGTTTATTTAATTGTAGCAATATCTTACCTAGACACGAACTGGTATACTGGGAGGATAGTTGGTTTATTTAATTGTAGCAATATCTTACCTAGACACGAACTGGTATACTGGGAGGA